TCCGTCCGCTTTTCGGTGACCTCGGTTCTTGTTAGACTTGACGCCACACGTCACCTGCCAATGCTGTCCATCTGTTCTGCAGGGCCCTCGAACTCTTGGTCGTGCTCCAAATTTTACTCCATCTTACTCCAGGGTAAGGGTTTTGTACCTTTGCATTCGAAAACCCACCCGCGTCCAGCGTCGCTCTATCTGTGTTATCACGTGACACGACCCGCCGGAAAGCAGCTCGGATCTATTTGGGTAAGGGTTCGGACACCCCTTCCCTTTCCCTTTTTCCGGACCTGAAGAGCTGAGGCGACCTTAAGCGATTGACCGAGTCAACAGAGCTCGTGAGTTAGTGGCTGTCCGGACCCACGTGATTAGCATGTTCAAGGCACCCATGAAAGAAACGGGCAATCTTTGGCAAAAAAGAAAAAAAAAATCTTTTTCCGGCAAGGAAAAAAAAAAAAAAAACAAAAAAAAAAAAAACGGACGCCAGTGGAGCGCCGCACGATTTATGTCGGAGTCATATCGCCTCTTGATTTTTGTACTATCCCGTTTGGACAGGCCCTCACACTCCAACAGGCCCTGAGAAAATCGCGTTTACACTGTAGCCGCAGAAGATGGCACCCACACATAAAGATTGAAACACATGTAAAGGAAAATCGCGTTGCATCGCACCGCTGCGGCGTGGCGGAAGCATTTAGAAACCGCCAATGACAGCAAGGGTTATCATGTTTACGGCGCTCGGCGGCACGATGCGACGCGATTTTCGCTCACATGTGCTTTACGCTTAAAACATCCACGAACAACCCACGCGCTTTCCTTGCAGGACGCAGGACTTCACGCCATCCAGTTTCCACCAGTGTAGCGGAACGGGCACCCCCATTTCATTCCAGTTCCATTCCGGGGAATTAGAGTTTTCAATAATTCCATTCTTTTCAACTCCTAGGAATGGGGACACTGGGCCCATTCCCACTCCTGGAATGACTGAATCGTTCCATTCCATTCCTCTAATTCCTAAACGTTAAAAGCGTCACTTGACAGCTGCATTACGTTGCAGGGTTGGGCAGAAATATTCAAAAATGTATTTGGAAATAAAAATACTGGGAGAGATGAAAATAGTTGCTCAGATACTGATACTCGAGTCTCAAATATATCTGTAAAATGTATCGCGATACGTATCGGAAATTCATCTTAAAAAGAGGCAAAAAGTCTTTGGAAATACAAAGACAATAATACATTTTAGGGAGGGCAGAAATATAAATACTGATAATGCAATACATTTTTCCAATTTCTTTGAGTCGCCAACTGAGATGAAACTTTAAGTTTGAAGTGGAAGATTTTTTTTTTTTTTGGTCCCGAAATTAACTTTTTGCAGGCTTGGCACTTCGGCTTGAAGGTAGTGGTTCAGGACGAAGAGTCCTCAAGTCAATGGGTTTAAAAAACGTTCCATCAAGAATTGACCGCGGCATCCTGTCTGGCTGACCAGTGATGCGAAAAGACTTCGACCTCTAAATAAATTCCATCAAAACATCAACACTTCCCTGTCCAATAAGGGCGCACCTGTCAGCACTGATCACATGACGTCACGGTGGGATGAACTAGTATTCTTCAATCTGTAGGTGTTGCCTTGAGCATGAAACTTTACCAACGCTGCTGTATGAAAGGACAATACGTACTTCCGTTGTAGGTGACCTCGCTGAAGACCGTGCAGGCAGTTGCATTTGGAATTTTCGAGAAAAGTGGACCACCTGAAGCATTCTGAAGCACATGTTACGGTTGAAATATCGATACGGTGGCATCCCTGTTGTGACGGTCCTTCCTGCCGATTCTCCGCCTCCAACGCATGAATGGCAGTCTTCAAGTTTTGCCTAGCATCATTCAAACAGAGACCTCGTGGATTGCGACCTGACATGGCCGGCACAGGTGCGAGCTCTCCGAGAAACAGCGCGCTCGAGACGAGTCGCACGTGTGCACAGCGAGGCCACGTCTGGCCTCCTTCCTGGGTATCAGATCACCAGAGCAGCGAGTCACGTTCACGTCTGCTGATGACATACCCTTGAGCCGTGCAATATTACAGGCGCAGACGCATTCGGATATGTGTTGAACTTCACTGGTGAAAAGCGCCATCGCCGCCCCCCCCCCCCCCCCCCCCCACCCCGTCCTCCCTCTGTCCTTTGCTTTGACGCTTGTTTTTTGTATCGCTTTTTTTTTTTGCGTATAAGTCTGTTAGGGCCTTACGCGGGTTCGCAGTTTCCAGCTCATTTTATTTCTGAACAACCGACTCCCTGACTGGTTCGGTATAGCTGAACGTGAAAAAAAAATATAAAGAACCTGGCCCATTCCATTATCATTCCATTCCGGGCAAAAGGCATCTAATTCCATTCCCATTCCATTCCCCTCAACATTGCCACCATTCCATTCCCATTCCATTCCGGGGTCGCGAAAATGTGGAATGATTCCGGAATCATTCCAACTCCGGAGTGGCAACTCCGCAACACTGGTTTCCACATGTGTACACATTTTCTGCACACTACACATCACAATCTGTTCTACCACTGCCTTTGCCACGTTAGTGCGGCAAAGGGGAGACTTTTTCAATCGTAACGTTTTCTCTCTCTCTCTGCTTATCATACAGACGTACAGACCGGTTCATTATAAGGATGAGGAGGGGATCAGGTAGCCACACGATCTGGGGCTGGATGATGCAAAAAACCGCTGGAATCAAATAAATTCGAAGAAATCGGAATAATAATCGTGTTGTACGTATGTTTATACCGCCGGAAGTAAGTAAGTCTTAAAGGGGAACTAACACCTTAAAGGTCGTCTTTTTTTTTTTCTTGTCTAAAACGATGCAATTTATAGTCATGGACACGCAAAAAATACCACAGCGCGAAAAAAATTTTTCCACGCGCGCACCTTTTCCTTTTGGCGCTCTTCTCTCCCACTCTTCACCTCCTCGCTTCTTTTGATTTGTGACGACAAAAATCATGAAAGTTAAAAGCTTCGTAAACGACATTTCTATAACATTTAATAACGGAATTCGTAAAACATGTTTTTTAACACAATTGCGAACGCACTTTGGCCCTTCTTTTTGAAATACCGAAAGTCGGAGTCCGGTGTGATGTCGCCTCCTGGCTTTTTATCGACTTTCGGAAAACATGGCAGCACTCGACGCATGTAGCCGGTGATGATTGGTGAGTCGGGGAATCGGACGAAGTTGTCTTTTTTAAGTGCCAAACGACCTCTAAGACTTGGAAAAGGAAATCGTGAAAGGACCAAACGAACTGGGTTTGGAGTCTGTTTATCGTAGTTTCGGTTGTGACTTCGCCGGGGCAGCCTTTCACGCAGAACCGGCGCGGCGTGGCCCCTCACGTCACTCACAAAAGTCCATTGCGCGTTCTCTTCGACCTCACACCGTTTCAAAGAATTTGAGATCGCTGAAAGGCCCCTAAAAGAACTTCAAACTTGAAAGTCAAGCGTCGTCTGCTGGCAGCGATAGGCGGCAGGCACGGAGGAAGCCGGTCGGGTATCCGGTTTCGAATACAAAAGAAACTATGATTTCGATGAGTCAGTGCCCCTTTAAGGGCGTCTGGTGTCTCAGCTCTCATGGCCTCCTCTCTACTCACAAAGCCTGGCAGTTCGACGACGGAGCCTTTAGGGCCGCCCACACTAGCGAGAAAACGCGCGTGGCACGCCGATCGCGGCAAGTAACAAAATGTCGCCGAAGCACAGTCAGCGCCACGAGCGCGTGCAGAGACACGCCCTTTATCTTCCCGCTTAACCGATTTATCGGCGCGCCGGGCGCGTTTTCTCGCTAGTGTGGGCGGCCCTATAGAGTGCCCGGTCGCAGATTTGGAGGGCGGGGATCTGGTAGCACAGAGCATTTCACAGGGAGCCTGTAGTCAGCGCGCAGTTTTGCAGTGGCGAGGACCCGAAATATGGTTTTCAAACCCTACGAGAAAAGAAGCGGTAACTCGACAAACGCGAGAAGCACGAGCGGACATTCCATCGTTCCGGAAAAGTGTGTTTTGGCGTCTCGCCGCAGCGGGGCGCCCGTTACATGCCTCTTGTCTGTCGCGCTACCTTTCCACTTTGGGCGGCCGCGTCTCGTGGCGATCTGCCAGGATTTGGGAATATAGAGGAAGTTATGCAGCTGTATATGAGAAATTTAGCCATTGCAGTGAAATTGCTAGCCTGGGGTTTTTAACGTGCACCGTTAATTAGTGATACACGACCGCGCACCTGTATAATGCTCATCCAAATCGAAAAAAGCAGAAGTGGGGATCGCTTCCAGCATTTTCGGGCACTTCAGCGCGAGCTTTCGATACATTTGCAGCATTCGAGCTGAGGTGCGCTAGCCCATTCGGCCACCAATTCCCGCATTGCTGCTTCAACGCGGGCACCATGTAAATTCTGGAGGCGCTAGTAATCGTGATGACGCAGTGGCTTTGAACTTCGCGATCGAGGCCGCGACCCCCGCCTTTTGAAAGCGGACACTCGTTCCGTAATCGCAAGCAGCGGGCACACTTCTGGAGGGCCGCTGGAAGGGGCTTTCCCAAAGTCAGATAGTCGAGGAAACGAACAAACGTACGCTCGAGGGACTTTTTCAGTAAAAAGGAATCAAGAGGAATAAATAGTCAACGTGCCGACCAATCTGGGTGGAGCACGCATCTAGTCTAGCCCCATGTTGCTGTATAAAAAACTGCGAGCTAAAAACATACCTTTTGTGTAAGGGTAGTCAAAATATTAGGCGCTGAAGAAAACCAGTCTTATGCGTTCGTCCTTACTTCAAACTCCTTTTGCATGTTTACGTTCCGTCCATTGAAATGCCAAGCGAAAGAGCCCATGTACACATAACAAAAACAAATACAGCGCGAAGAATAGGACAAGGTACACTGGTAACCGACCAGACACAGCGCTGTGTGCAGTCCGGGATAGTGCTTTTATCTCTATCCCCCTACGCGAAGGTTATGAGAAAAACAAATAAAGAAAAACAATTATTTTCTCTTTTTTAGGGGGCGCCAAACACACTTTCGGAACTCGGACAGATGGCTCTACCAGATCACTGGCAGGAAAAATCTTCTCTGCTTCCCGACGAGGGACTTTCAACAGCGGATCCCACGTGGTACTCTAGGGCTGAGAATGCCACGAGGAATATACCAAGGTCTCGCAACGGGAAACACTCCACCAGTTCAAGGATGGATCCGTCAGTTGGCGAGGAATACGACGCTGAGCATCGTGTGGATAGACGGTTGCACAATGATCCCAAGAAAACCGTCGACCGTACAACTTCATGGATGCGTCTGTTCACTAGCAATGAGCGGAGCACGGATGAGACATTTCCAGAGCTCTTCAAATTCACCAGGGTTGCCAGGACAAGAACTCCTTAGCCAAGTGCCTATTTTATCAAGATTAAAGGCAACCAGTTGGAGTCGGATGAAGAATGAGCCCTTTTATTCTTTTACACAATTTTCATGTCAACAACTGCAGTTTCCTTATCATATATTTTTGTATTGGTAGTATTGTTCTGAAAAGCATAAAAGTTACGCTTCCGTTCAGCCTTCGACTTCGGAAGTGCTCACAATTATTTATAAACATTTTTCCTCGACCCTGGTCCACAGTCACGTAGCTCACACCCTTGTTGTGGGCGAAAAAAAAGGCAAGGCATTACAACAAGGAACGAGTGAAAAAAAGATACATTAGAGGAACAACAGGAAAGAGTCACAATCGAGATAAGAACTTGAACACTTTATAGGTGCGTGAGGAGGGCCAAACAGTAATTTCTCCCATACCGGAAGTTCCACGATTAAAGATGGCGACGACCACACACGAAAGGTTCATAATTTCTTTGCGGATTTTTAGTCTTCAAGAGAGACAAGACGGAGACTGTGCGTCGACTCCATATCATTGAGCGAGTACGAGAAAACTAACTCGATGTTCGGCGATCGGCAGATCTATGAGACTAAGCGCCGAATGCACTTTCTGCCAGTTACAGCTTTCGTACTCGGGAAAAGCGCTTTAGTCGGTTCATGTTAAAAGCAAGAAGGTTGGCGTTAGCAATGCACTGTGCTGTACCTCACAAACCCCTACAGCATAGATAAAGATTTAGGCGCGGGGGCCTACATCAGCAGACTGCGTTGCTTGCGCTAGGTCCAGCGGAATGCAGGGGCGTTGCGGAGGGGTTTGTTCATTTCTGTTAATTTGATAGCACACAGGGCATATTCTTACCCCCCTTTTCACATATTATACACCCTGAAACTTCAGTTCAGCGCACAGCGCGCTGACGTTGGACCAACGTTACCAACTTTCATAGCGGCTTGATAGCGCAGTTATACAACTTATTAAAATAGCCAACGTACGCTTGGTTGGCTTAAACAAAATGTAATCGGGGTTTTCTTGGCTTTACAGCAAAATCTCGTGCTATTTTGCTGTCTTTGATACGTACACTGTTAGCAAAAATAGCACGCCCGGACGTGTATAAACCGTTGTCCCGTAGCGGACACGTCCAAACGTGCTCGTTTTAGACCACCTGAGACTGGGTGGAAGAAACGCGACGACGTTTCAAACACAGCTAACCACTTTATTAAGTGCTCCCTCCTTTTCTTCATCCGGAACCCATACTTCTTAAAAAATGGGTTCAATTTTTTTTTATTTTTTTGAGGACAAGCGTGGTTGCCAGGTCAAGGCGTGTCTCTTTGATGCCATTGTTTGGAGTGTGTTCTTTCTGGTCTCCATTTTGGGTTCAGGATGTATGAAAGAAGGGAGCACTGAATAAAGTGGTTAACTGTGTTTGAGACATCGTCGTCTCTTCCACCCAGTTTAAGGTAGTCTAAAAAATGGTAAACCTACACCAGCTCGCCTGCGCCCTAACTGTTTTTTCATGCGTTATTCGCCTACACGTGAGGTGCCGTGTAAACTTTACCACGACACACCGTGTCTGCCTACCGCGAAACACGACTGAGCGTGTTTCTTATAAAACATGGCGGCCAGCAGCCAAGAACAGGCGAGAGACAAGCCGAGCAAGCCGCGTGCCTTTTTGCCGAAGTGAGAGCACATAGTACACGCTACCTTTTATTCGAAGTCTTTTATACGCAGTAAACAGTTTCCAAGCGGCGGACGTAGCTACGTGCAAAGGTACGCACGTGCGTCGGTGGCGTCGGTAGCTACGACGGGGCGGCTAGACATGAACAAATGCTAACTTCTTATAAAATAGATAAAGGACTCGAGCAAGCAAAATATTACAATCGGGCGACGACTCGCGACACCTAGGTGTAGCGACGTTGGGTAGCTACACCGCAACTGCTAGACAGACAAAGGAATACCGAACGTACATGGATAAACCTAGGGTGCCTCAATGTCCTTCTGTTAAGGGTGATGCCACCCTTTGTAGTACCCGATGCCGACAGCACGCGCTAACGGGTAAAATACAAAGAAATTGACGAAAACAAAATGTCGCCATAGCACAGTCAGCGCCACAAACGCGTGCAGGGACACGCTCTTTCACGCGCTTTTGAACAAAAAAGAAAAATATATGTGTGGGACAAAATGGCGAGATGTCTCCACCGTAAGCAAAGCGCACATGAAGGCACCCTAGATAAACCACTCGAGCAAAATATTTGGAATCGGGCGGTAACTTGCGCCACCTAGTATGATTTCTAGCAGCCTATCAAAAAAAAAAAAAAAAAAAAAAAACGAATCTGTTAGTACGCTGTGAACGATCACGAGTAGACAGCAACCCTAATTACATTGCAGACAACACGAGCACCACGTATTACACCGCACCGACAAAGCATATAAACAAACACTACAACGACACTTCGCCCGACACTTCCTATTCGACATGCTTTTCTCCCCGCGGTGTATATAAGCTTGACATGTGCGGGTGAGCTCTTTGGTCACTGACCGTTACATATTTATAGGTGAAGACACAAAACACGGCGCAATAGACAGCCGTGTGTAAGAACTGCTTGCATTTAAAAAAAAAACGTATGGAGGCAAAATCTATAATGTTAGACCGTTGCGGAAAATAACGATGTATTAGAAATGAATCTTAAACCAGTCATAAAAAAAGTTCAAACTTTTGTTATTTTCTTCCTTAACCAGTGTTATGAGCAGTCCGACTAGCTTGAATCACATAGAAAAAAAAATTATTCGGATTTTATCAACATGTATTCAATATTAAATGGATATGATCCTTGCGCAATGTATTTGTTATATATTCTTGTGAAGGACATCCGCCCAACACTTCACTTCCGCTAGTTCGCGTCCGGGAGCATACGCTTTCACTTTTGGGGCGTTCAGTTTGTTGTCGTATGTCGTGTCGGTGCCAAGTGGAGCGGTGGGGCTTGGGAGCTTGTGAACGGTGTTATTCGTGATCACTGGTGTGGGGATGATGCGTTTTTTTTTTTTTTCATACCGCCACCACCCCGAACTTTGAAGATTATCGGGCCCGTAGCACTGCATTATGCTGAATCGCGAGCTCCATCTCTGTTGACGTCACTTTCCTGGTACCACTCGTGGATACTGCAAGCGTTTAAACAGTGTGCACCGTCTCGCATACATCCCCGGTGACGTACTCAACCTGTTGAGACATTGCTTTCGTCATTTTAGAGAACGCAAGGCAGTTATCTCGCGGCTCTGGTTTCGGTTCCCAAAGCAAGGCAAAACGCTCGTAGTTCCCGCCCTCAGTACAGGTTGGATATCTTCCACACTTCGACACCGGATAACTGGATGAACGAGGATTTACATATCCTTCAGAGGTAACTCTCACCGCTTCCTCATCGTCGAGCAGCAGGATCAGCTGGCGACAAGCCGCGGATGAACGGCTTGAGCATCAACAGTCCAAGTGCACTCGGTGCCGATGCTGGCGATGCGGGTTTCTGTCAACCGGTTGGCGAGCACAAACCGTGACCGTTCCAGCTCTTCGTCATGACACGGTGTTGTAGAGAGCTGGGTAAAATACAACTACACGGACCACCGAAGCAAACACGCTCTTATCGTAAATCTTGGCGTGTGATCGCGCCTTTGTAGTTAATATTATTCATTCTGCTGGAGAGACGCAAACGACGGGCATTACAAAATCGTACGCATATTCTACGTGCCTCGCAAAAGCACTTACCCAGTCACCTTGCGAAAAGCGCGGAACACGGAGTCCGCACCGTCCTGACTTCCCAGTCTTTTACCTGCTTTAGAGCAGTTTGTACCTGTTAGTGCCTACTGAAACTGAAACTTGGGGCAGTGCCAGAGAGAAAAGAAACATTCGGGAAAGCTTGCTCCCTCTCCTTGATTTCTCAACTCTCAAGTGATTCTACCATAATAAATGCACCAACGCCTCTTTCTAAAATAAAGAAAAACCACTATGTTCACTACGTAAAAAATTGCCTCAGTTCATGCATCTGTGGGCAGGTAGGAAATCTCGCCCTAATTTATTCACACCGCATGATGAGCGCAACAAACTCAGACGAGATTTACAGGAAAATATCTAGGGTGACTAGTTTTTCTAAAATTCTGTATAACCAGTCGTTTGCAAGACCGAATCATCTACTCGAGCGGTGTGCGTCGCTGTGCAAACGCGAGCTGTGGAAACGCAGTCCAGCACCATGCATAAAAACGGCGGATTTAGGACAATAATCCAGAATTCATTTTTCAATTAAAACGACGTAATTTTGTTGAAAACAGCCGCAGTGTTTTACTCACGGTATGCGTCGGGAATCTTCCACATTTTGAAACGGAGCGAAGGAAGATCCTTTTAGAAACGCTCGCTGCGTCCTCCCCGACCAGCTGGACCGGATCAGCTGACGACGACGGACTGAACCCGTTGAACCTCAACTCCACAACAGCCAATATGCGCTCCGTGTTAGTGCGGGTTTCTACCCCCCAGGGGCGCCGCACGAATGTTTCAGCTCTGTCGCATCGCTGTGTTGCACCAAACAGAACGAGATCGCCGAAGTCAACGCAGCGCTGTCGTAAACCTTGGCTTGTGGTTACGCACTCGTGGACCCTGTGACTCCCTTCGCTTTCAAAGCACACACGACGATTACGAATGATACTTTCCGTCTTCCGGGAACATCACAGGGGCACTTATACGCGGTCACGTCTTCGCTGCATGTGGTCGCAAACCGCGGAGCTTCTCGCGTCCCGTCACACCAGAACAATACCGGCGTCGTGTTAAACGTGATTTGTTGCCAGAGTTTCTCCGACCAAACAAAAACAATGAAAGCAAACCGGCTCTAGCTTCCAGCGTGCATCGGCGTGCGCCGTGGCCAGATTTTTTCTGTGAGCTCTAACTTAAAGATGACCTACAGATGCAGCAACACTGGTATAAAGTTTTAATGCAGGGGCCACCACGGAGCGCCGTAAATTCTGAGGAGGGCGCATGAGAAGCGGCGACTCCTCCCCCACCCC